TATCCACACAATGTGGGATAATGTGGGAAAATACTCTTGGATTTTTCTGTTTCCTAAGGGGTGAAATTTGGCTAAATATTTAGTTTGGGCTCTGTATAGTCTGTGGTTAAACTGAAGAGGTTTAGAAAGTAAATTTATTGTGTGTTCAGCTAATAGACTCACCTGGTTTTTCAAGAGAGAGTTGAAGAATAGAGAGGCGAAGTCCCGCCCTTCTACTTCCGACCCATGGGACCTTATTTCGGAAAAATTATGTATTGAAGTCAATGGGGAGAGAAAACGTATCTTTCGATCCCGTTTGAATTGTGCCACAAATTACACATATGATGTTTGTCAATCTTAAAAAATAATTTCCATGTCAAAAAAGTCACAGTTTGTCGTAAAACTGTTGAAATATAAGACTATGAAAAATACGCAACTAGAAAGACTACAAATCCCAGAATCCCGGTCCCGCATGCTGGCTCTTACGGAACCGACTAACTCCCCTTGTGTGTGTGTACAGCTCTCAACATGCCCAGACTTGGAGTGATTTTCACCTCTTTTAATACTTTCCGCCTCATTCTGAAAGAAAGAAGTGAAATGTGCCAACGTGACGGCCGTCTTGGTGTGTGGTGCGAGACGGGAGATGTAGTTCATTGAGCGGTTTCACACAAAAAAAGGTGTTACTTCACAGTTTTACGACACATTTTTTTTTTTGACTTGCAAAATTATCTTTTAAATTGACAAACATCATATGTGTAATTCGTGGCACAATTCAAACGGGATCGAAAGATAATCTTTCTCTCCCCATTGACTTCAATACATAATTTTTCCGAAATAAGGTCCCATGGAGGTCCCCGGAAAGGGAGGGACTTCGCCTCTCTATAGTTTTTCTAGAGAGAGTTGAAGAATAGTTTTTCTAGAGCATAACGTTGCCGGATAATTCCAGTTTGTTAGAGGCATTATTGAGCTCTTGACACTAACCTGTTCTTATTTATTCTATGTTTATTGAATTGTTGCTTATGTTAAGGGGAATGCGACTTAAAAACTACGGCTGCTCGACTAATTGGGATTATTTTGACTAATATGACCAAATGCAACTCCAATACGATTGACGATCACAGGGAATGATTATTATTCACCATAACTCACCATACATTATCATGGTGTGATTTTTAAGAGGATCTGTAGAATACCGTTTAAGGTCCGGACTTCTCTTGTGCGCCACAATACTTGATTTAATTTAGCCTTTTAAAAATATTGCACATACTCTGATTTGGATATTGCATTAGTCCATACTGTGTAGACCATTTTTATTGTGCTGCCCTACTAAAAGCATGAAAGACTATTCAAACATAAAGCCAAGAGTAGTCGTCTCTCAACCATACGAATGTGCCTTTGTGGACACATTAAACAGAAATACACATTACCTTTTAGTGTAACACACATTCTTCAATACAGAAAACAAAAAATCTGTCATTTTTCCACCGTTTGTCTCCAACATTGAATAGGCATGCGCGTGTTAGTGCAGAATTGGAGGGGGAGGGTAAAGTGTGAAAGATGTTGAATGCTCAATGACCTTATATCCACCAGCCAATCACATTGTAACATTATGAATGTGTGGTGAATCAACACTGATTATATTGCTGCTACAACAGGTCTGCTTTCTATCTTGGAAACACCTGACTGCTCTACTGATCCATCCTGACTCCAACATATGCTCCCCATCTCCTGACCTTAGGAGATGAACATATGAGCCTTTTGAATCTACTGCGTGTAACGTCAGCCGGTGAAAATCATTTTTTATTCCTACATGCGAGCAGCAGCCCCCCTTGCCACTCAGTGCCCTAGATGAGTCCTTCCACCCTTTTCTTTCCAGCACAGTTTCTGCACCTATTTTTGATTCAAAACCAGGCCAGGCAGCAGAGCTCAGGGCAGAGCTTTTTCCACCGCCTCTGAGAAGTCATTCCCTTCTTTTAAACTCTAGATCGAATTAATTGAAATCATGCATATATATAGCAGTCCTTTAAATAATTTGTATGAATTAGGTTAAAATGCATCAATGAGATTTAGACACTGACGTTCTCATGATATATTTCCAGATATTCTGCATTTCACTACGCCACATTTTAGTCAATGTCTCGGATTTTAAGACGAACGATTGAGGCTAATAACGTAACCGGTTATTTTTAGCCTGCATGAAGATGCGCTCAGCAGTGATGGCGATGGCTTCCTCCCCCTCCTACACCATCATGACGTCGGGCTGTTACGCAAAAGCAGGGGTTCACCTTTTTGTGGACCTCCGGTACCGTCACCACTGGCGTACATTGGGGGCATTATAACACAAATAAAGGAGGGAATATACGAGATATATAATACAGGCTAATACCCTGGTCGTGTGTAGATCTGTTCACTTCTGCTTTTTCTTTAATTCCCCATTATGTTTCAGTAAACGCACTTTGTTTAAACTTGGTGTTGTTGGACACACCCAGCATGAAGCAGGTGTCTGCGGGGCTTATCTGATGTGGACCGGGACCAGGGTCAACACAGCGCCCGGTCCGAAACACGAACATTAAAGCTGCGACAGTCACTTCATTTTATACTTAAACGTTTACAAACGCTAGATAACAACATGCAATTAGAGTAAAAGTGGTTACTCAACTATTTGTAGAGGTGCTGGAGACACAGGTCGAGGCATTCCCCCTCCACTTCGTCCTCAGTCATCAAGTCCGACAAGGGGCGCAGCGGTGGAGGGTCGCTCTCCTGCAGAGGCATCCTCATCTCCCGCAGGAAGAGCTCCAGGAACCGTCGGAAGGTTTTCTCCTCTGCTATAGAGCCGGCCATCATCTCTCATTCCTGGACAGACAGCGACAACTCCTCCCGTCAGTGCACTAACTTCTCCGGGCTGAGAAGAAGAAGGAGAAGAAAAAGAAGAGGAGTCGGTACACTGAGTCGTGCACGCGCAGACTACCTGAATGAGTGTGAACTACCGGGGGCGGGTGGAGTACCGGTGCGCGTGTGAGAGCAGCGGACCTGCCGGGATGAGTGCACTTTCTACGGGTGTGCTACTGGACTGGACTGGACTGGACTGTCAGTATCTGGACTGAACCCCCCATTCAGAGCCGAGCGGGAACGCGCATCGCGTTATCGGGGATTTCGGATGATCACCCGAATGTGACGTCAGAGAGTCGTGAACGCGCACGCATCGCTGCCTCTGACGTCTGAGAGCTTTTTATAGACATGGGGGTGTGTTTGGTCATATGTATGATGTCAAACTAAGACAGTATTATATTGTCAAACCCTTTTTCATCATCCTAGAAAAAATCTCATGAACAAAAGTAGAAAAGTAGATACATGTTATAACAGGAAACCTTAATTTAAGATGTATATCAATAGAATCCCACAATCAATAACAGACTGTAACTTAAGGTGGCCTACATTTACTAAAGTAGCCTACTGTAGTACGTTCTTATAATATCAAATATGTACTTATTTTTTAGAAAGTATAAGTGGAATTTTAACAAACAAGAAAAAAAACACAGCACATCCTGGGTAATAACGTTAACAACAAACATGTATTCAAATGTTTTACTTTTTTTTTTTGTATGTCAATACACATTTAGAAAAACAGTCCAACCCTGTCAGTGTTATACATTGAATAACTTTAGTATTTTTTATTTACAGCCATATTGAGGAAAATGTGAATCCATTAACGAATATCTAATTACGTTTTTCCATTCAAAATTGTTGATTTTATTCAAATAATGACTGGTCAAACTTCATATTAAAGATAAATGTAGTTTTGACCAGTCATAATTTCAATATAGATAACTTAAATTCTGCATGTTAGATATTTATATATAAAACCAATAGTCAGGATTCAGTGAGAAACTGGAGTCAATGTGGTTAGCCTCATGTTGTAATAACGTATTAGTATGCTTCGTTACAGCTGGTGAGATATACTCGCTTAGCATGTGATCATGTGACCTGTCTCAAAGGCTTTAAGCTGCAGCATTGAAAGTGTTGAATAAGTGATGAAGAACACGATGGCTTTAAAGGTCTCATCATGTGAATGTATGAGTGGTCGGTGGACCGCTGTGTTTCATGTTCCCCTTTTGTCTGGAAAATATTTGGATGTCTATTTCCTTCATTACATGTTACTTGTTAGACGCTTTTATCCAAAACGACTTACATACTCAATACTGTGGGCAATCCCCACAGGAGTAATCTGGGGTGAAGTGTCTTGCCCAGGGACACAACGACATGCTGACTGTAGTGGGGTTTTAACCTGTCCACTCAAAATGTTTTTGCCAATTTGACCAACACTGTGCAATATGTTTGTATTCCAGCTTCTTTAATGTGATGATGTTCTGCTGTTTTATTTCAGTGTAACCTGAGATCTATACAGTTGTTTTTTTGGAAAAGAAACAAGACATTTTAATCTATAACTTTAGCTATAGCACAATTATTCAGTGGGTTTCATTACCCATTGCCTGTTGTGCATTCTTTGTATTCTATTTAATTAAATGTTTTACTTTCTTATGTATTACCAGAGATGTTCAATAAGTTAAAAACACATTCTAAAACGTATTTGGTTTTATTTTTATTATCAAGCATGTCATTCTTTACCTGTTTTTCTGAATCACAATATATATACTTTTCACCAGGGAAAATGTATTTTGTTACAGTCGCTCCATTTCAGAATAAAATAAAAATAAATGTAAAATATTTATAAAAAATAAAGAAGTTAAAGTAAAACATGTGCACATTGAACTACAATATATAACAAGAATAAATATGTAAAAATATGCATATGACGAAATATACATTGGACTGGTTTAGTTATATAAATAATCATAATAATAATGCTGAAAAACTGATTATTGTTTAAAATGTAGTGTAATACAATGTTGTGTCAATATGGATTTAGAAACATAACGTTAATTGTTATTAAAAAAGGAACCGAAAATAGTGTCTACTCGGACACTTTAGTTAAGGGAACCGGAAATAAGTGCGTCTTTGTTTTTCTTCCCCCGCTTTCCACCATGAAGGGAACAAACATGGCTCTCCCTCTGAGTATGGGGGCTCTGCTTCAGGCGGACCTCCAGGAGGACGCCGCTTACCGGGACGAAGGGTTGTGTGTTGTCGGTATTTTCGGTAAAAGCAACATGCAACCGGGCGCGCCTAAAGAATCTATCGTCAACAGTCTCGCGGACAAACACATCTTCTCGCTGTTCGGAGGACCGGAAGATGGCGGTACGGCGGACAGCAGCATCGAGGCTTTCTACCACCAGGAGAACCGGGTTTTGTACCTGTTGCTGTCCTCCGTGTCCGACAGCCGGCAGCTATTGCGGGCCTGCGAGTCTCTGAGCGCCGGTACCGGACACTCCGACTCCCACGAGCTGTGGAAAGACCTGGACCGACAGCACTGCCTGCATTTACTCTACATCTTCTCCGTGTGTCACGTGCTCCTGCTGGTGCACCCGAACCAGACGTTTGATGTGACTTATGACCGTCTCTTCCGGGCCCTGGATGCTCTGAGACAGAAGGTGCTGCCTCTGATCCGGGCTGCCATCAAGGACTGCCCGGTGTCCAAAGAGTGGAAGCTGAACTGTCGGCCATGCCCTCCTCGCCTGCTCTTCGTCTTCCAGATGAACGGCTCCATGAAGGTCTGCTTCTTATCTTTTATCAAGTTTTAATTTACAAACAGGTGGTGGAGAAACCATTGCCACTTACCCAGGGGTCGTTGTACAATCTTAAAACAAATAGGTGCTGTGTTCCAGAGGGTGAAGTGCTCAGCTAGGGTGGAATAAGGGCGAGGGGTTAGTGGATTAGGAGTTGAAGGCAAGAGTGAAAAGGTGAGTTTTGTGGGCTTTTTTTAATGACGTGGGAGTGTTGGCAGATTGGACGTGGCTGTGGAGGGAGTTCCAGAGTTATCTCACATAAACTCCATTGCATGTAACATTTATTTGACACCTCTTTTGTTTGTTGTTTCAAAGGTCTCTACAAACGGCTCAGAGTCTGGAGGAAACCCCGACAAACCCAAGAAGCACTCCCCCAGGAGGAGGCTGCAGCACGCGCTCGAGGACCAGATCTACCGTATCTTCCGTAAGAGCAGAGTCTTGACCAATCAGAGCAGCAACTGCCTGTTCACCGTTCCCGCCAACCAGGCCTTCGTGTACGTGATCCCGACCGTTGACGAGGACCCTGTGGGCGCGTTACTCAGCCAGCTGCGCTCCACCTGCACTGTGAGTGAAACAGAGCCAGTCGTGGTGGTGACGGGCCCGCGGAGATATCAGCAGATGAGACGTTCAGCGCGACAGTTGAGTTACAGCGGAGATCCAACGACTCTGTTGATGGGCGGCCAGCTGACAGACTGCAGCCTGAAGGAGTTCCTCTGGCAGCACGTGGAGCTGGTGCTCACCAAGAAAGGCTTCGACGACAGCGTTGGTCGCAACCCTCAGCCTTCACACTTTGAGCTGCCGTCCTACTCCAAGTGGGTCCAGATCGCCTCTAAGCTCCACCAGGTTCTCATCAGCAACACAGAGGAGGAAATAGCAGAGCTTTGGTCAAAGGTTCAGGGCCAGCTGAAGGTTTTGGAGGGTTTTCTCGACGCTGATACAAAGTTTTCTGAGAACAGGTGTCAGAAAGCCCTGCCTCTGGCTCACAGTGCCTACCAGTCCAACCTCCCCCATAACTACACAACGACCGTGCACAAGAACCAGCTGGCCCAGGCTCTGCGGGTGTACAGCCAGCATGCACGAGGCGTGGCTTTCCAGCGCTACGCTCTGCAGCTTCATGAGGACTGCTACAAGTTCTGGAGCAACGGCCACCAGCTGTGTGAGGAGCGCAGCCTGACGGACCAGCACTGCGTGCACAAGTTCCACCTGCTGCCTCAGACAGGTGAGCAGAAACACTGCTTCATATTCCTCTGCTGCAGATTCAAGATTCAAGGCTTTTATTGCCATTTGTTATGTTAGAAAAATATCACTCGCCACCGGCTTGAGCTTCAATAATCAGGATCCATGTTGTATTTATGATCCTCTCAAGAATGGAAGTAGTCATCACATACAGAGCATCAACTAGTTCCTGAACAGTGTCCTTCACGTGCTGATATACAAGAGAGGGAGTTACACAGTCACAAGATGGAGGAATATAAAGCAGTATTCAATGTTTAGTTCAGATTAGCTCCACGTCAGAAATGATCATGCTTGTCATATGTCTCTCTCCATAGAGGCTGAATCATCATGTTAATCACATAGCGATCATATGCCTCAACAGTCCTGATGCTCTTCTAGGTAATCATACATCCTGTCATGTACTCAGCTACAGTTGGGATACCTTTGTTATCATGTTACTCTGATATTGGAAGAGTACATTCAGTATTTTACCAACAGTACATAGCTACAGTGTAGTTATGTCAATGAAAATCTGAGGTCACAGGCTCCTCCAACAGTGCAACACAATAAAACAGATAAAATAGTGCAAGTAAAATAAAATAAAATAGAATAGAAATAGTGCAAGAATAGTCTGCACTGCATCAAGTTAATGCTGGTATCCACAGGGTGTTTAATATAAGATCTACACACGTGGGATAATGAGAAGCAAACTACCTTGATGGGTAACTGAGGGTGTGGAAAAATGATTCTACTAACAAAAGCAGAAAGCTCTGAATTTGTTAATTATGGTTTCAATAATTTCTTTATGATATATATTAATTAATATTTATGTGTTTTTGGGATTATCGCAGATTTTTTTCTAGATTTTAAGAGTTGTCTGGTCTACAAAATGTCAGGTCATAGTGAAAGATGTCTATCCCAGTTTCCTTAAAGTCCAAGATAATGTCTTTAAATGTCAGTCTTTCTGTCTTAAACCCAAATGTATGCACTTCGATATGATGTAAAACAGTCACTTTAGCTTGAACAATTATCAATAATTAATCTTTTATCAAAATGGTTAATGATTGTTCTTCTGTTAATCAACCAATCAATTAACCAACAAGTTCAGTGTTCATTTACATATGTCTATTTATGGATAGACATATATATAGATACATTCATAACTAGTCAGGATAATAATTACATTTATAAATTCTGACGTTGTTTCTGCAGGAGAGAAGACAGACATGGATCGAAACCCGCCCATCCTGAACCACAACAGCAGGGGGCGCTCCACCAGCGCCTGTAACTGCGGCAGGAAGCAGGCGCCACGAGAAGATCCGTTTGACATCCAGGCGGCCAACTACGACTTCTACCAGGTCAGCAGCTTCAAACATCTCATCCTGTTGTTATTTAGTTTAGTTTAGTGTATTTGTTTATAGTGTCGTGGACAGTCCCCATTGATCAACTGTCACAAAAAACAGTAAACACACATTCCCTCAAATTCCTCCAGAATATAATTTTCTTCAATTCTTGACCCATGTATTCTCTAATCTCCATGACTAGATGCTGGATGAGAAATGCTGCGGGAAGTTGGAGCGGATCGACTTCCCCGTGTTCCAGCCCAGCACCCCGGACCCGGCGCCCGCCACAAACCAGGCTCAGAGGACCCCCATCGAGGCCTCCGGGTCTACAGAGGTGGTGGTGGAGAAGCTGAAGGAGCCGATCACCAACCAGAGCACCACCCAGAGCACCACCCAGAGCCACACCCCCCACCCAGAGCCACACCCCCATCCCCATCCCCGCCCAGAGCCACACCCCCATCCCCGCCCAAAGCCACACCCCCACCCAGAGCCCCCCCCCTGCCCAGAGCCACACCCCCGCAGACACCAGCCTCAGCCTGGCCCTCAGCCTGGGTCAGTCCACAGACAGCTTGGGGCCCTATGCTGACGGAGATGGCACCGAAACACAAGTCCAGCCAAGAGACCCAGTCTTGTGGACCGGCAGCCCTCCACGGTGGAGTATCTCCCCGGGATGATGCACTCTGGCTGCGCTAAGGGTCTCCTCCCAAAGTTCTCCAGCTGGTCTCTCGTCAAACTGGGCCCCGCAAAATCCTACAACTGCCACACGGGCCTGGAGCACCCGGGCTTCCTCCCCGGATCCTCCTTCCTGCTGCCCTGGGACCTGGTGATCCGCTCCCGGTCGGAGGAGGACACGGACAGACTGATGGAGCCTCTGGATGGGGGCACCTCCTCGTGGCCGGCCCCCAATAAGACCCTGGTGGGGAAGAGGGGAAGCACCGGGGGCCTGGGGAGGAGCCGCAGGAGGGACGACATGGCTCGGATCTTCGTGGGGTTCGAGTACGAGGACAGCAGGGGGCGGCGCTTCATCAGCTGCGGGCCGGATAAGATAGTGAAGGTTCTGGGGCCAGGGGGGGCCAAAGACCCCGCCACCAGGGTGCTGAACACCGACATGCCGCTCTACATCCCGTCCCCGTCGCAGGGCCGCGGCATCAAGTCTCACTACGCTCAGCTGACTCGGCTGTTTGTCGTCGTGCCGGACGCCCCGCTGGAGGTCACCCTCAACCCACAGGTAGCTACACCCCCCCCTCAGTGGGTCACTGAAAACTAGCCGCATGTATTCAAAAGAAAATCCAGAAATTGATATTATATAAAAGATACAAATTGATTTCTGGATTTTCTTTTTGATATTCTTACTCTCACTGTTTATATAAACCTACCGTTAAAATGATAGACTGTTAATATATTTGTAAGTGGGCAAACTTACAAAATCTGTATGTATGAATGAATTGTAAGTGTTTTTGTTCCCTGCTGTGTCTCCAGGTGCAGCCCGGCCCTCCTCCCTGCCCGTTGTTCCACCCGGAGCAGACAGATTTGGTTCTTCCTCCCGATGGGTTCTGGGTTCTGCGGTTCCCTTATTCCTTCTGTACGGACCGCGGGCCCTGCTACCCCCCCAAAGAGAACCAGCCGCTCAACAACCACAAGGTGCTGCGAGGCATCCTGAAGGCCACGGCCGCTACCCCGGCCCCTCAGTGACGCTGAGGGACCTCTTATTTATTCACACTTCCTGATATAGGCCGAGATGTTTATGTTTGTGAGTCCGTGCCCCCCCCCCTGACCCCTTCAATCCTCATCTAAATGTACTGTGGATTTTTCCAGCCCCGACATATTAAATCTCGTTTATTTTGATGACGTCAGGAAGTTTTTTTAAATTAAACATATTCACGCTCATGACCCCAATTGAAAGTATGCTTCTGTGGTGCCAAACCGTAAACTTAACATTTTAACCTGTAGCGCAGAGAATCAGTAAATCATCAGTATGATATTCAATGTATCACTTATTTCTCAGTATGGCATCGCTTATAGCACTTATGTCAAGATTTTTGGGGAAAAGATTGTAATGTAAGTCTGGATGGAGGAATTAAAGAGAGGTGGTGGCTTTAATGAATATAGACGTACTTCAGTTAAATCAGGAGAGACTTAGTTCGTTAGTTGATAACATATTTATTGCCGTATGAACAATACGTTTTGGAGATTAGACCCCATCATACTGTGATGGGTTAAGGGGGAGGAGAAGCCGACTAGGAAAAGAGAAACCCCCCGGGGTCTAGACACTGGTGGTGGTGAAAACTAAAGGGAAATAAAAATCCTTAGTGATGAGGGTTCTTCTGGGCTACCCTGGCCTTGGATCTGATGAGACTGGAGGCGAAGGAGGTGGGGGAGGGTTGCATCAATTCTCCTGAACGATGCTGGCAGGGGAGAGAAAGAGCAGATTTAAACATTTGCCGGGTGTGCTGTGATTGGCTGTGGAGATGAGACGCGACCGATTGGTTTAGCTGGGGGTATGTTGCGCTCTTGCTTATGAAAGAAAGGGTGAGGTGAGTGAGAGAGAATTGTGAATGAGAGCGTGGGAACCAGTCTTCCTGAAAGAACTTGCGCTGAGCTTCATTTAAGACTGAAGGAGCCATTAAAACAGGCTAATTATGGGGTACAGTAATAAGGCTGGACTCATGTACGCTTTATTTTAAATCCCCATATTTAACAGTTACTAGCAGTAAATATATATTTAATAAAAACTCTATACAACACACCAATGGAGTTGTATGCAGATATAATTAGGGATGTAACTAAATATTATTTTAAATCAATTCATCAATTGCTTTTTTGTTGTAAATAATCAGGAAACTGGGAAATGCCAACCACAAATCCTTAAGACCTGAATTTCATATCATTAAATGTTCCTTTTTACAGGGATGCAAACTTGTCACCTTTCGGCGAAATTCGCCGTTTTGATTCCAAAATAGGTCGTTTGTGTGATTCATGTAGATCTGCAATAAAAATATTTTGGGGTATGGGGGGGGGTCTGGGACCCGGAGTTTCTGCGGGCCGCGAGCTGTTATGTGCCATCATGACACGCATGGTGTTCTTTTTTTATATATTATAATGAAGCGCGAGCACAAGTCTTCCTGCCTGTCAGCTCTGCTCATGGATGTATAATAAGGCTCTGCTGCTCCGGGATGAGGGTCTAGCTTCAGCAGCTACATTACCTACGGTGCGTTCGTTAATATTAACTGTGCGGTCCAGAGTCACTGGCACAGACTGGACCGCTGGTTAGAACGGGGTGTTCGGAGCAGCAGAGCGTGATGTGCACTGAAGAGTGTTTCTGTCGCAATATTATTTAATGAATCGTTGAGCTAGCTAACTAGCATACATTGTCACTATCTGCTAACGTTAGCTTTAGCCTTCGTTTTCAAATAGTTTCTTTCATAGCCTATAAACGGAGGTGGTATAAGTATCTTGTACTTGAGTAAAAGTAGAAGTACTCAGATCTTGTTCTTGAGTAAAAGTTGAAGTACTCGGGTCTTGTACTTGAGTACAAGTAGAAGTACTCAGATCTTGTTCTTGAGTAAAAGTTGAAGTACTCGGGTCTTGTACTTGAGTACAAGTAGAAGTACTCGGATCTTGTTCTTGAGTAAAAGTAGAAGTACCAGAGTGTAGGAATACTCTGTTACAGTAAAAGTCCTGCATTCAAAATGTTCCTCAAGTAAAAGTAGAAAAGTATTATCATCAAAATATAGTTAAAGTAGCAACAGCAAAAAGTAGTCATTGTGCAGATTGGTCCATTTCAGAATAATATATATGATATGTTTTATAATGATTGATCATGAAAGTGTTTCTCAAAGCTGGTAAAGGTGCAGCTAGTTTGAATGACTTTGTATACTGCAGGGTAGCTTGTGAATTTACTCCAGGTGGAACTAAAGTCTGATTTAACACTTGATTATATTTCACATCATTCATCCACATCTGTGAAGTAACTAAAGGCATTCAATACATGTAGTAGAGTAAAAGTACACCATTTACCTCTGAACTGTAGAGGAAGAAGAAGAACAAAGTAGCAAAACATTGAAATACTTAAATAAAGTACAAGTATCTAAAATTGTACCCAAGTATAGTACTTGAGTTTATGAACCTTTACTTTACACCACTGGCTATACAGATAGAAAGACTAAGCCTTGCACAGAGGCATGAAAATACATTTTCAAAATGCTCAACAGTCCTGCCAAAATTATAACTGACTGCTACACAATTAAAATAAATGCTTAATATATTTCTATTAGATGTGACTCTTTGGCGTTTCTGTTATTATTAACTGCTGCTTTAGTTGTTCTGACTGCTAAAATCCTCTGTTATTCCTCATTTTAAAGCCGATATTCCGTGGGGTCGGGGGGCTCGGATCCTTGTCACCTTTTTCATACCTGATGGGTTTGCATCCCTGTTTTTGTGCCTTAAAAAACATTCTGTATTTATGTGTACTCTATAATACAAAAAACACATCGGAGCAGATTAAACCAGGAACTTTGTATAAAAAAATGTTTCTTTTTTAGAAGATTAATCCACTATCACAACAGTTGCTGATATGTTTTGTGCAAATTGAGACCAGCTTCGTGTAGTTTTCTCTCCCAGACTACATGGCATGAAAGGTAGTTGTTTTGGCACTTTTCATATCTGTGAATTTTGGGGACTTGCAGTAAAGTGTGACCTGTATTCTGCATCATATGTCACACAATACACGTACCTACTACTAAAACACTGACTACTAAATACAAATAAAAAGAACAGACAGACTGGGGACCGGAGTGGAACAAGTTATGTTTTTCTGTAAATAAAAACTAGAGTTCTTCATTCTTTGTCAGATGTTATTGTTTTAAATTATTTAATGTCAGCCTGAAAGACACATTTCTCACGTTGAAGCATTAAATATTGTATTTTACTTTTTGTCCACTAGTTGGGGTTTGACCCTTCATTTATTTATCGAGATAAATGACCCTTCTAACGTTTATACCAATATATACATGGCCTTATACTATTATTAGACTGTCTTATAATTGCATTAACAATTAATTCAAAATCCCTATAATTTCTGCTTTCCTGTCAAATGAAGGCTTTCATTCAAAACCCTCCTGTTGTGTTCGTCCCCCCCCTTACTTTGGTGTTCGTGGTCAAATTTGACCGGTCCTGTTTTAACTGCTATTACATTTAACACAAAAACATTAATCATCACTACATTCATTTAACACCCTTTCAAACTGTAATATTTGTATCAGACTACTGGTATACATGAAAAACTGCTGTAATATACAAGAACAGACACTGAACATGTACTGTGTGTGATTCACATGGGGGGATGGGCACATAAAGCGCGGGAAATGGGGTCGAATTGTTCCGTGTGGTTTATGTGTGCCAGCTGTAATCCATGTGGGTGGATGGGCCCATAAGGGGGGGGTGGACACAGTATGTGTGTGGTGTGTTGTGTGTGGGTGTGTGTGTGTGTGTGTGTGTGTGTGTGTGTGTGTTTTATCTGATCCGGATGGTTACTAATTCCTTTTCTTTATGGCAGTCATTTTTGAGCGGGAACACCATGGGTGTTACAAAGTCTGACTAAATCATCCAAAATTCAATGAAAGTGGTGACAGCAATTTTCTATGTTCAAATGTCTACTGTGAAGGATATCATAAAGCTTAATGCAATCGAATGTAAAACAAAAAAGTTATGATTGATGAAGTAGTAAATCGGTCAGATTTGACCCGAACACAACAGGAGTGGTTAATTATAAAAATGTTAAATATTGTTTATTGTTTTCAGTTTTACAGATAAGTTCAATGCAAATAACATTTAAGTGTTTTCAAACTAAAATATTACAACAACAGTTCGGATCTAAATAAAGGATTTAACCAAACACACAGTTATTGATGTGGTGTGTCCAAATATAATGACTGAAAATAGAAATGAGTAATTTAAATTAAGTACCGATAGGATATGGTGAGTGTTTTATTGGTGCAATGTTCTTAAAAGGATCCTGAAAGATAAATAAACTGCTGTCAAGGACAATTTGTAGGAACAAGGAAATCAATTAGTGATCTCATAACCGTAGTGACACACACACACACACACACACACACACACACACACACACACACACACACACACACTCTTAAGGAATGTGGGTAACAACAATGAGGTTAATAACAAAGCTAAGACTTGCAATTCAAGGTCATAAAGTTTAACAACCAGCGTTCAAGATTTAAAGGAACATTCACTGTACATTTAATAGTTAAAGTGTCATTTTTAAACTTTCATCAAACACTCACAGCGTCTTTTAGTGTTTGCACATGGCACTTCTCTTCATACTCCTTAGTTTAAACTTATTTTACACCGAATAAAAGTCACATTTTATGTCCCTTCAGCTCAGTGTGAGACTTCCACTGCTTTCCCTGGTTACACATGTTAAGATTTTATATTTCTTTCTCACAATTTAGCTCATTGTAATTGTTTTGTATTCTCTGTGTGTGTTTTGAATCTGTTAAATGTGATTAGAATACTTCATAATGACATCTTTTAGTCTTTTCAGTTCAGCTGCCTCTTCCATTTCACACAGATCAAACCTTATTTAAACTAAATTAGTCCGCACATTAACTTCATTTCCCCCCCCAAATCACCTTCTGTAAGAGCCTCAACTTTAACTCCTATCAGTGTTTGAGCATCAGCTAATTCTTTAATAATACATGTTCAGATTTTATAATTGTTCTCATAATTTACTCGCTAATTTTAACTCGATGTGTAAACTGATACTTATTTTAACTGAAGCCTTATTGTTATTTAGGACTTCACTTGAATTTGCTCTTGTTAAACTTCAACCCCTTTTAGTTTTTTAACTTTACCTGAATTTACAACTTCATTCGACTTTAAAATATGAGGCATACATCTATTTCAGACACAGAAATACATTTCAAAAGCTCCAAATACTTCAGAAGTGTTTGCAGTATTCAGCTGTACACACATTTTCTCAGTGATGTTTCTCTAGTTTTCCACAGCGTCACACCGTTGTTATTATTTGTATTGACATCAAAGTGTCCATTCTTAATGACCTTTAGAGACTTTCTGTAAGCAGTAAATGTGGGTGTGTTTGTGTAAAGCAACAACAACCATAAAAGGATCAAAACAAACTAAGTTGCTGGTTACCTGGTGGACAGGTGAGAAGGAGGCGGAGGTAAAACAGCCAACCCTCGCTCAGATCAGAGTTTACAGCTCGGCTTTTGTCTGCCGACCCTGAATACGTCTGTGCCAAAGTTCAGCGCTCACACAACACGGACAATAGAAAGAAAGAAGACACTGAACTAGATGTTCTGCAGACGCTTCATCTTTCATATTGTCTGTGGCACACCTGAGAAGAGTGAAGAAAAACCCCTGAGAGTATTCAACGAGGCAGCGGGATGTGAGTATAACACAGATTTATCAAGAAATCAATGATTAAAGCAAATGTTCTCCGGCTCCTGTAATGGCTCTTACTTCTTAGGCTAACTTTTCAACATTGTTTTTAACCCTGAGACGTTACACTGTAGGTTTAGACTTACATTTAACTTCACATTTTATAGTTTTATTTGGTGTGTTGAATCATCTGCTGTACTTTTCTGACCTTCAGTTGACAAATCTTGATCAACTTTAAAGGAAAATTGTGTCATTTTAGAGACTTTTTAACAAAGACTCTTATTTAGTGGCATTCAAACTGCAGGTACCAGTTTTCAGCGTTTTATTTATTTGTTCATTTATATTGATTATTTTATCTTACATACAGTACGGGACTTGAATTCATTTTCGAGTACCAGTACTTTAATTTTTAATTGTATTTTTAATTTTGTTAGAATTTGTTCTATAAGCAAAATATTTTAGTTTAGCTCCTACATCAATGGTGGCATGTTTGTACTCTAAGTACATGTACTCAAACCCAAATCAAAAATCTGAGGTATGGTTACCTCAGATTAAAGTCCTTTTAACTAAAACACATATTTTATTCCTGGATTAATGCAATGAATTGTTCATCACATAAATGTTGTGGCTGGAAAAACATATGGAGCAGATTTGAATTACTTAATGATTTATTTCTATAATAATACACTGTAATGTATTATCTTCAAAGTACCTACAATTTTCTATAAATGTAGTTGATGTTTGGATCTAAACTGAAAGTACATTTAGATTGAGATTCAGATTCAACTTTATTGTCATTACATAGTACAGGTACTAGTAACGAAACAGAGTTTGGCATCTGACCAGAAGTGCAAAAATAGCAGTGCAAGTGTCTACATGATATAAATAAATGAATGAATAATTATAAATAGGCTATAAACAGATGAAGTATGTACAGTATACAGTATAAAGATATGAACAGATGTATACAGTGTGGTTATATTACTTATGTACATATATATGTAATTTACTTGATATTAATGTTTTGTTTCTTCTTTGTTTCGTGTCAGCTCATCCATAGGCGATGCCATACTGAGACCTCATCATTAGTCACCATCAGTTTGACTGACATCACCATGGCGACCAGGACGGCAGAGGTCCAGCGGAGGATCGTGTCCAAAGACGGCCACAAACAACGTGCGCGTCGACAACGTGGAGGGCATGGTGAAGCTGTACCTGCACGACATCTGGACCACGGTGGTGGACATGAAGTGGCGCTACAAACTCACTCTGTTCGCCTCCACCTTCGTCTTGACCTGGTTCATCTTCGGGGTCATTTTTCTACTTCATCGGCATGGTCAACGGGGACTTTGATCCCAACTTGAGCGCCAAACCGCACGGCCTGCGTGGAGAAAGTGAAGACCCTCACCGGAGCCTTCCTGTTCTCCCTGGAGTCGCAGACCACCATCGGGTAACGGTTTCCGGTACATCACAGAAGAGTGTCCGCTGAGCCATCTTCACGCTCGTGGCTCAGCTCGTCATCACCGGCCTGGCTGAGATCTTCGTCACCCGGGGCCTTTCTCGCCCAAACTGGCCCCGCCCAAAAGAAAAGAGCGTAGGACCATCAAGTTCAGTAAGTCTGCGGTGATCTGCCGCGCGCCGGGAAAGTGTGGTCTGATGGTGAGGGTGGCCAACATGAGGAAGAGTCTTCTGATCCAGTGCCAGCTGACGGGGAAATTCCTCCAGTCCAACGTCACGGAGGAAGGTGAGAGACGCAGATCCACCAGAGCTCTGTGGACTTCTTCATGGACTCCAGTGGAGAGTGCCCCTTCCTGATCCTCCCGCTCACCTTCTACCACGTCCTGGACGCGCACAGTCCTCTCACAGGCCTCAACGCAGAGAACCTGCAGACCCGAGACTTCGAGCTGCTCGTGACCTGAACGCCACCATGGAGTCCACCGCCGCCACGTGCCAGAGCCGCACCTCTTACGTCCCGCAGGAGATCCTCTGGGGGTACGAGTTCAAGCCGGTGTTGTTCAGCACCACGAGGGGGCCGATACGTGGCAGATTTCAACTTCTTCGACAAGGTGCAAGTCACCAACGATGCGGTTTTCCTGAGTACAACACGGAGAAGCTCAAACTGGAGGAGGACTACAAGACAGAATAGAGGACGTGTTGTTTTTTACACCGTTTGATGTAATGGTGAAAGTTAGTTTGGGCTTGATCAGTTGAACTTAGTTTTGATTTTTTCAACGTTTTAGACATTTACATAAACAGTAGAATACTCATTACCTTCCACCAACCCAACCATCTTGGCATTACATTGAGAATAACAGATTGCTGCAGGAATGAGTCCTCAAATCTTGGAATGAGTCGCATTTTTCGACGTCTTGGTTACCTTTCTCAAAGTTGATGGGTTTTCTGAATTAGTTTTTTAGATACAGGACATTTACCCCTGCGGTTAACACGAGCTTCAGAGACTTTCCAACAATCAAAACAATCCTTGGCTCTACTTAGAGAATATTACTCTACTGCAGAAACTTTTCCTAAAAACTGAAAAAGAGCTCACATTTTGTGCTTCAAGTTTCACCATCTCAAGGCCGATATTTTTACCGAAGATGTTCTCCCTGGCAACTTGCAACACATTAGATTACATCCACCTTTATTGTGATTGCACAGAGTACAAGTGCTAACCAGAGGTATACACACAGAAAAAGAAAAAAGAGTTGTAGTATAATATAAATATATATATACTGTGACAGGTATAAACAGAGCTGAATGTATTTACACTATGAACATGATAAAGGTGGACATTATTAAACAGCAGTTTAGAAATTGGAGACACTATAAATCAGGTATAAAAATATACAGTTTAATACAGACACTATCCACAGAATAAATACAGATCGTTATTGACGTCGACACATCAGAATGAGGCTCACATAAACACACCAGGGTTCTTTATATGACTTTGGGAATAGCAAACAAGCGGTAAGAAATCCAACTGTTCAAGACATGATTCATGTGAAGATGTAAAATGTATTTGTTGTGTTTTAAGTATGAGAAGATAGCTGAACATGGAAGAGTGAAATTATGTTTATAAAAGGTTTATGATGTAGATGTTTTGTAAATAAAGAAAAGTAAAAATATATGTTTTTTTGTTCCAAAGTTTAGTAGTTTTTCTCAAAGAAGCATACTTTTACTTTGTAGTAACGCCACTTCTATTATATTAAACAGATCAAATTGTTATTTTACCACTGCCCACTCGTGGCATGCTGGCATAGACACATGGTACTTTAGTATAAATGGTTTCAGAGAACAATGCAGGTAAATGTTTGAAGCAGTTTGAAGGACAGAACAGGTTCAGCCCCCCGTCTCAGGTTGTGTTTAGTTTTTGTTGTGGAAACACACTGTGTGCGTGGCAGCTGTATCTGGTCAAAACAAATCTTTAAAATCCAAAACACAACTGATCTTTTACTGCCAGAGACGAGGGGGTCTAACAGCTTGGCTAGAAAATGCTGTCTGATGTGAGATCATACTAATATAAATTAATAAAACAAGGGTTTTCATTCTAATACTTCTACTCCACTTCAGAATGAAATATTGTACTTTACTGCCATTCAATCTTTTGATAACTTTAGTTAGCCTACTTTGATTCCGATATGGGGGATATATCCGATTATATCCGATTTATGGGGGGAAATCAATATTTAAGTGTGTAAAGTTACAATTAGCTTGACCTTTACAAGCTGCAAGCCTTAAAGTGATAAAGAGAGAGGCAATTAATAATCATAATCCAGTAATATCATATGGGTTATGTGATTCCAAAAGCCATTCTGCATTATGATTATGACCCTAACCCTAATTTAAAGCTTCTTTAATATCCTTACTTTTAAATGTATCTCTTCTTGTTTGACTCTTTTATTTTGAAGGGGTCGGAACATCAAGCCTTTCCCGAGAACAGAGCGGAGCTGAAGTGAATGCTTTTATTCTGAAGGATACATACCGGAAGTCGTGTTGTTGTTGCGACCGAGCGGAACACAAACCGGGAGGGAAACAAGATCTATATTTATATATAAAACGCGTTGTTTTCACTTATAAGCAGTTCTTTTAAACGTCTGTCTGATGCGTAGTGGTCAGAGATGAGTGTCACTTTGGATATAAGACTAAAAAGAGCGAACAAAGTTTATCATGAAGGGGTAAGTCACAGTCACAGTTAGCTTAGCTAGCTAACAAGCTTCTTCTATCTATGTGCTGTTAAGTTAACATTAACTCGTTGTCATGGTGTTTTACGTAACCGTTAGTAAAATGCAGTATTTCATTCATATATTATACAATATAACATAACAATATAACATTAGCTAGGAGACAGCTTCCTGTGCGCACGTGACCAGCAGCTGATCAGATTGGCACACTACAATCTGTCATCCATCATATTCTAACCCTCTGAGATCAATAATAAAGGAAACAACATTGAATACATTCCTAACAAATCAGTGGTTGTAAGTAACGAAGTACATTTACTTAAATACAATTTTAAAGTACCATTTGATGCCTCTTTAAATACACATTTCAGGGCATTACATTGATTAGTCACTAATACAAAATGTCAATCGACGGATTAATTATGATGTATTAGGTTAAGCTTCCTGGCAGTATATAAAGAAGCCTTATTAAGATTATTTTTGTACAGATTGTAAAGCAATCTGAGGCAAATTGAAATATTGGGTTATATAAATAACTATTGATTAGCTCCACCTTCCCCAGCTGCAACTATATAGTTACTATAACTTGTTGCATCAATAACTACAACTCATATAAACATTACTCTGCATATTTAATATTTTAGTACTTTAATTATATTGTGATGCACATACTTCTGTACTTTTCTGGATGCTTATACTGGGTTCTTATCATCATGTGCACTAAACACTTAGTTAGTCTTCTTTCTGAAGCACTTATGTGAGATACATCTTTAGTTATGTAGTAGAAATAAAGCTAAATTCTCATCAGCTCACAGAACTTGGATGTTACACTGAAACAGATGCCGATCCACACTAGTTGTTCATGTAGTCTAACAACAAATCAGAGTTTAGGTTACTTAAATGTTGAGTTACCATCACTTCAGTCACATGCTTTTATCACACGGCAATACTTATGTTGATGTATAATGTTGTATAATGTTCTTATAATTGTTATGCTATGACGTTTGTATTTTGCTCTTTGCTTTTGTTTGCTTTGTACAGCCCTTTGAGGCATTCTTGTGATTTGGGGCTATAACACATTTTGATTTGATTTGATTTGACTTCTGACCCTTTGTGTGTTTAGGAGGTGGTGGCGGGCGTCATCCTGCTGGTGTGCAAAGAGCCGCTGCAGCACCACGGCGTCTCTCTGAACCTCGAGGGGCTCGTCAACCTGCAGCTGAGCTCCAAGAGCGTGGGGGTGTTCGAGGCTTTCTACAACTCTGTCAAGGTGAATTACACTCAGCATCATACAGGGGTGGTGGGACGTAACAACATACAATTACTAAAGTACTGTATTTAAGTACACATATTAGGTACTTTTCATGCCACTTTTCATGACTCAAATCTCAGAGTGAAGTAGTAGTTTACTCCTCTACATTTATTTGACAGCTTTGGTAAATGTACAAAGATTTTTTTATATAAAACATACCAAGACTGACATCTCCTAATGTCTTGATTGTTCCGAGTGACACCCAAAGATGTTCAATTCGCAAATATAAGGCAAAGAAAATAACCAAAGTCTTCCCATTGAGAAGCTGTTAGAAAAATCTCACGAGTCACCGGTTTGAGCTTCAATCTCAGGATCCATGTATTTCTGATCCTCTCAAGAATGGAAGTAGTCATCACATACAGAGCATCAACTAGTTCCTGAACAGTGTCCTTCACATGCTGATATCCAAGAGAGGAGTTACACAGTCACAAGATGGAGGAATAAAGCAGTATTCAATGTTTAGTTCAGATTAGCTCCACGTCAGAAATGATCATGCTTGTCATATGTCTATCTCCATAGAGGCTGAATCATCATGTTAATCACATAGCTATCATATGCCTAAACAGTCCTGATGCTCTTCTAGGTCAGTGCTTCTCAAAGTGTGGTTTGTGGACCACTGGTGGTCAGTGAGCGCCCCCTAGTGGTCCTTGAGTATATTGGTAAAATTTCACATTTGAAATAAATAAATACATTTAAGTTTTCCGCACTCACGCGGGAATATCTCCGAAATGAAGCGAGTTTAAGTTTACATTTTTGCTTTGTAGACAGACCATGCAGGCCAGCCCGATGGTCACCAAGGTTCATGTTTTAATAGCATTTTTACAAAAAAAGCCCACGCGAGCCTAACATGTAAAAAACTGGCTTAGACCTCAGAGAGTTAAACTTGGGCCTGCTGCGACCATAGTTTTACTGTATTTTGTTTTGAAAATCCACAGCGGAGGTTTGTGTCGTACTATGCGGTGTATTTAGCATATCTCTCAGTAGTCAACGATCTGCGAGTCTGTTGGCTCGGACATAAACTCTGTAATAAATGTATTTGTATTGTTGATTTAATGTGTGAACGAGGCGATGTAGAGAAGGTTAAGCTGTCATTATTAGGCTGTTATTTGTTGTTGGAGTGGTAAGCAGGCCTATTGTTTTTGGATATTTGTGGAGTCAGTTGGTCCGCGAGTGTTTTTTTATTGGTTAAGTGGTCCTTCAAAAGTTTGAGAAACACTGTTCTAGGTAATCAAACATCCTGTCATCTGCAAAGCTACGTAGGGCTTTTGTTATCATGTGCTACTCTGATATTTGAAGAGTACATTCAGTATTTTCCCAACAGAAGCTTTACCCAGATCATTTTGCTACAAGTTTCCTAGGATCAACCCTACAACATTTCCTGACCTGACATGATATTGATGTTAAATGTCTGCACATCAGTCTGTAACCTGTTGTTAATATGCTTCTCACTTCCTGCAGCCCATCCAGCTGATCAGCAGCAACATCGAGGTGGCCAAGGCAGGAAAGATCCCGGGAGGAAAGACGGAGATCCCGTTTGAGTTCCCCCTGAACACCAAAGGAAACAAAGTTCTGTACGAGACGTACCACGGCGTCTTCGTCAACATTCAGGTGAGAGAGGGACAGAGATGGCAAGTAAACGCATCCTTTACTCAAGTAGAAGTACAGATACTCGTGTTTGAAAATACTCTGATAAAAGTAGAAGTACTGACTAAACTTCTTTACTCAAGTAAAAGTAAAGAGGGCTTTGAAATGTACTTCAGTAAAAAGTACCCATAACTAGCAGCTGTTTTAAAGAGTACCCGACCTCCCTTTATATTAATAGAACAATAATGTCATTGTTAGCTAATGAATGTTTCCATGCTGAACAACGGCAACATGACAACGTTTTCATTGGTCCCTCTTCTTTAGAGAAGACCAGGAAATGATGGATACACGGATCGTGTTCAAATCAATAGGCACGCAATGACTCTAAATAATAATGATCACGCCACCAAACACACATTCAAACTAAAGGAACCAGCCTGTTTGGAAAATGTAAGAAGTAGAAAGTACAGGTATTTGGGTTCAAAATGTAAGAAGTAGAAAGTACAGGTATTTGTGTTCAAAATGTAAGAAGTCAAAGTAAAAAGTCATCAGAATAATAAGTAGTGGAGTAAAGTACTGATACCAGAAAAATGTACTTAAGTACGGTAACGAAGTATTTGTACTCCACTACTTCCCACCTCTGGAGAGGGACACAGAGTTTTTATGTGATGCCACAAGAGCTCAACTAGAATACCTTATAAGTGTTTTAGTCCCAAAAAAATGTGGGTACATATCAAATGAAAATGTCCTGTCAGTTAACCCTCTCTTTTCCTCTCCTCAGTACACGCTGCGCTGCGACATGAAGCGCTCGCTGCTGGCCAAAGACCTGAGCCGAAGCTGTGAGTTCATCGTTCACTCGTCAGGTCAGTGGCTCACATCGAACCAGATAAAGACTCAGGGGATGGTAATGAGACAGATATTAGATTAAAAATACCTCTGATAAAGGGTCAAAGTATTTCTATCTTATGCTACTCGTCTACATCTCAGAGGCAAATATTATACTCTTGACTGCACTACATTTGTTTGGTAGCTTAAATTAATATTTGTTTACATTAAAACATATACGGTATGAAAGTACTATACTCTTATTCTACCCAGAAGTAAACCAAGTATCTAAAATAAGCTCCATGTTAATAAACTACAGTATTAGCTTGCAAAACGTAACTCAGTGAAACTCAGAGGAGATGTTAGCCGTGTTGATGAACCGTGTTTAATGTTTTCCTCAGCCTCAGAAAGCTAAAGTTGTCCCGACGCCAGTGAACTTCACCATCACTCCAGACACCCTGCAGAACTCCAGAGAGGTGAGGAACAGCTTACAATGTACTGATTTACTATAATGTGTTTTATAATGTGTACACCATTTTATGTCACTTGTATGTCACGTTTTGTTTTGTGTGACATTATTTAATACTTTTTGGGGATAGACTTAACTTTTTGAGGGGAATTTTTACAATTTCTTTCCCATGCTTTTTTATTTGACAGACTTTTTTTGTCATTCTAGATTATTTTTCAACGCTATTTTTATGATACTTTTATATACTGCATGCTATACATACTATAATAAGGCGTAGTATAATATAACTTTTTTGTGACGTGATTCTTTTGACAAACAACACTTTTATTTATGGAATTCTTTACTTCACCATTACCTCTGATATTTAACCCTTTTTTATGTTAATTGTCACCTTTTTTTATTACCATTCGTTGACATTTTACAAACTTTTTCATTGCACAATACACTCTTCTTTTAATAGCATACTATCTAGAATAGTTTAATTTCTTGTTTGTTTAAGTTGCTTGACCTAAGTCTGAACAAAGTAACTTCGATCTCTCTGTCTGTGAACACAAACTGAAAGATTGACAATAAAGTTGACTTTGACTTGATTTTGCTTCCTGCCCTCAGAGGAGTGCCTTGCCAAAGTTTCTGGTCAGAGGGAAGCTAGACGCCACCAACTGCGTGATCAGCCAGCCGCTGACCGGAGAGCTGGTGGTGAGAACTCTGACGTCCCCATAAAGAGCATCGAGCTGCAGCTGGTGAGAGTGGAGACCTGCGGTGAGTTCACAGTTCTGTTCTCTAACGGCACGGCTGATGGGTTTTTCTACGGTTGCAATAAATAGTAAAAAAAAGACTTTTCCTTAACCTCAAGATTCAAGATTCAAGGCTTTTATTGTCATGCGTACATAGCTACAGTGTAGTTATGTCGATGACAATCTTAGGTCCCAGGCTCCTCCAACAGTGCAACACAATAAAACAGGTAAAATAGTGCAAGTAAATGCAATAAAATAGAATAGAAGTAGTGCCATAAGAGTCTATATACAAGTGATAAATAATTTGTAAATTGCAGCCAGATGAATGTTATGGATGTTCTTCCAAAGGTTCAGGTGTCTTATGGCCTGTGGGATGAAACTGTCCCTGAGTCTGGTGGTTTTAGACCGGATAGTAAAACAAATCTTGGGGTTAAAAGGAAATAAGTGAAGGAGAATTCATCAGGACTACGAAAAAGAGACCGCATTCACTGGGGGACGTAATACAATATTCTGTAGCTGGTCAACAAAAGCACATTTAGATAATTTGACCCATTCATGCTAGCTTTATGATTGTGGGTAACTCTGTAAAATATATAACTTCATAACCAGGGTTTGAATTGAAATTAAAAAAGCAAAGTGAAAGGGAACGGTTGCTCGCACTCACCCCTGTCTCCACTTGAATATATTTTATGCATAACCTGTAAGGCCAGATCATCTAGTCTGGTTCATATCACCATTACAACATGATGAATTAAATAAAAAGACTTAAGAAACCCCCACACAACTCAGTATTCACTGCGAAATATTGACTCTATATGATCAGTGTACAGTAATGAGTGTAACGTTTATAGTTCGCCTTTTTGTAAGTGTTGAAATAAGCAAATTAAGCCATAAGATAACTTTAAATGTCGCGGCAGCCTTTCCTCCTGCATTTCGTAGAGGATGTTCTAGTATACCCTTTGCTAAAGGAAACAATAAAGGACCTACAGTAGACAAATCTTGATCAACTTTAAAGGAACATTTGAACAGAGACTCAAAGACTTATTTTGTGGCCATTTCAAACTGCAGGTAGTACTTGAGTAAATGTACTTAGTTACTTCCCACCTCTGCTCAAACCCAAATCAGAAATCTGAGGTATGTGTTTACTTTACACTTAGTATTTCCAATACCTGCTACGTTCTGCTTCTACTTCACTACATTATGAAGCACTGAAGCTCCTTCTCTTCTAGAGCGTTCAAACAGCTTTTATCATGGCTGCCTCTCAGGTACTTCTGGGTCATTTTACCCAGTTAGATCAGGTAAAAAAATCATATTCGACTGCTACTAAAATGTCCGGTGTGTTCAGGTTGTGCTGAAGGTTACGCCAGAGACGCCACGGAGATCCAGAACATCCAGATCGCTGAAGGCGACGTGTGCCACGGCCTCCCCATCCCGATCTATATGGTGTTCCCCCCCTCTTCATCTGCCCCACGCTGGAGACCACCAACTTCAAAGTCGGTCAGTGAAGTCCAAGCTGCTTTAATAATAATAACAATAATAATAAATTACATTTTTATAGTGCTCAAAGAGGCTTAAAGATCCAGATCCAAACAGTGGAGGGAGTCATCAAATAGTGTAACTGTATGAGTTAAAAATACACCTTTTGATGACGTACTTGATGCTACTATAATTTTTGGATAGCATTCTTTACAAAAAAAAAGTCAAAGTATATCTGCAATGACTTTCTTATTATATTTTTATGACATACTGACATTTTTCCTTTGACTATTCATTCTAGTTTAATGTGATATCAAACTTACTTTTTCATAACTTTTTTTAATGACATACTAGTATGTTGTTACGAAATATTATAGTGTGTTTTTTTAACAACATAGTATAAAATGTGTTTTTATGACATACTATTGTATCGCTTTTTGGACATATTTTACCAAATACTGACATTTTTATAACTTTTTTTCAAGACATACTATTGCCATTACTTTAAAAAAACAAAACTATTTTCTGACATACTATGAGGTGCATTAATGACTTGTTTTGCTGAATAATTGTTCTGTCTTTTCAGAGTTTGAGGTGAACGTGGTGATGGTGCTTCACGATGATCACCTGATCACAGAGAACTTTCCCCTGAAGCTCTGCAGAGTCTGAAGTCTACACAGCTCCTCTAATGATGATCACTATCTGATTTCCTGTCATTAATATACATGAATGTGACCAAAAGTGTTAAATAAAGATTTTTCTCTAATGTTGTATTTCAGTTTAATAGATGTCTACATTTTCTGAAAGTAAATCATAGGAAGTTTTATTTTTTACATCATGATGATCCGTACTTTGACTATTAATAGTTATGACATAATTAGTTTAATATTATATCTTGCCCCTGCAAAATATGAACCGTTTGAACAGTGATGTAAAGTAATTAAGTACATTTACTCAAGAACAATTTTCAGGTACTTGTACTCTACTTGAGTATTTCCATTGTATGCTACTTTGTACTTCAACTCCACTACAATTCAGAGGTAAATCATGTACTTCTACTCCACTACATGTATTTAATCCCTTTAGTTACTTTACAGATCTGGATGAATGATGTGAAATATAATCAAGTGTTAAATCAGACTTTAGTTCCACCTGGAGTAAATTCACAAGCTACCCTGCAGTATACAAAGTCATTCAAACTAGCTGCACCTTTACCAGCTTTGAGAACACTTTCATGATCAATCATTATAAAACATATCATATATATTATTCTGAAATGGACCAATTTGCACAATGACTACTCTTACTGTTTGTACTTTAAATTTAAGATCTCAAAAGTATTTTTGTAATACTTTAATAAATCTAATGTTAATTACAGAGAGGGATGCTGCATGGTCTCATTTGAATTATACATGAGACCATCTCAATGGGATACACCTGGATAAATAAAGGTTTGACATGTAATTAAGCATATGAGGGTTTTATTACATATTAACGGACGTTTAATCATCAAATTCTTATATAAGAATTATATAAACATTATTTAAAGGAATACTTTTTCCCCCTGAATGTCGTTTTCCCCCTGCAGCGTTGGCCCCGCCTAGCAGCTTTCCCGCTCTCCGTCTTCTCTTAGGTCCGCAGTGAATATTTATATACTGCCGGTCAAACTGCTTCTACTCATTCGTTCTGAACGACCCGACTCATCAAGACTTGAGAATGAGTGGAAGAGGAAAAGGAGGAAAGGGACTCGGCAAAGGAGGCGCCAAGCGTCACCGTAAAGTTCTCCGCGATAACATCCAGGGAATCACCAAGCCCGCTATCCGCCGTCTGGCTCGCCGTGGCGGAGTGAAGCGAATCTCCGGTCTGATCTACGAGGAGACCCGTGGGGTGCTGAAGGTCTTCCTGGAGAATGTGATCCGTGATGCCGTCACCTACACCGAGCACGCCAAGAGAAAGACTGTGACCGCCATGGATGTGGTGTATGCCCTCAAGAGGCAGGGCCGCACTCTGTACGGTTTCGGAGGTTAAATACTCACCATCTGAACAACAACAACAACCCAAAGGTCCTTTTAAGGGCCACCCATATCCTCAAATTAGAGAGCTCAATTCCCTCATGATACCGCATTAGTGAGCACTAGAAGTTGGTGCAGGCAAGAGTTCATTTGTCTTTGTAAAACATGTTCAGGGTCAAAATGTCAATAAAACTACTTAAATAACATCCCTTGCAAATGAACATTTGGACATATACTGTATGGAAACACAGCGAGGACTGTGCTTTGTGGTCAAAACAATAACTGATATTTTTAAAAAAGTGATATAACAATGTGCATGATATATGTTTAAAAAAAGTGTAGGAATAATATCAGGATTACTGGAATCTACTGACATGTAGAGCTGATTTGACTAAATTGTTGCAATGAAGTACTCACAGTAAATACAGGTATATCTATATCTAATACAGGTTTGCAACTCGCATATATCAATATTCCTATTACTGAATAGACTATTCTGCACAGTTTCTATCATTCTGTTTCGATTAATTTCTATTGTGTTGCACTGTTGGAGCATGTGACCTAAGATGTTCATTCTCATAACTACACTATGCACGCATGACAAACGCCTTGAATCTTGAAATATCTCAATACATCGGAAAAGTGAGTCTCATATGGATTCATTTCAAGTCTTGATGATTACGGCTTACAGCTAATGAAACCCCAAAATTCAGTATCTCAGAAAATTTGAATATTGAAAAAACAATATTGTAGACTCAGTGTCAAACTATGATCAGCTAATTAACTCAAACCCCTCCAAAGGGTTTCCGAGCCTTCAAATGGTCTCTCAATCTGATTCAGTAGGATACACAATCATGGGGAAGGCTGCTGAACTGACAGTGGTCCAGAAGAGAGTCATTGACCCCCTCCACAAGGGGGGTAAGCCTCACAAGGTCATTGATAAATAAACTGGCTGTTCACAGAGTGCTGTATCCAAGCATATTATCAGAAAGTTGTGTGGTAGGAAAAGGAGCACAAGCAACAGAGTGGGCCGAAGAATTGAGAGGATTAAAAGCAAAAGCCATTAAAAAATGGGGAGGGGGGAGCTTCACGAGGAGTGGACGGTCGCTTGGGTCAGTGCCTCAAGAGCCACCACGCACAGACTTACCAGGACATGGGATACAAGTTTGCATTCCTCGTGTCAAGCCACTCCTGAACCAAAGACAACTTCAGAAGCATCTTACCTGGCCTAAGGAGAAAAGGAACTGGTCTCTTGTTCAGTGGTCCTTATTTCAGATGAAAGTCCATTTTGCGATGAACTTGGAAATAAAGGTCTCAGAGTCTGGAGGGAGAGTGGAGAGGCACCTAATCAAAGATGCTTGAAGTCCAGTGTGAAGTTTCCACAGTCAGGGATGATTTGGGGAGCCATGTCATCTGCTGGTGTTGGTCCACTGTGTTTTATTAAGTCAAAAGTCAACGCAGCCGTCAACCAGGACATTTTAGAGCACTTCATGCTTCCTTTTTCTGAAAAGCTGAATGCTGATTTTATTTTCCAGAAGGACTTGGCACCTGCCCACACTGCCAACATGACTAAGCCCTGGTTGAATGACCATGGAGATACTGGCTTCATTGGCCAGCAAACTCGCCTGACCTAAACGCCATAGGGTATGGGGTATTGTCACGAGGAAGATAAGAGACACAAGACCCAATGACGCTGACAAGCTGAAGGACGCTATTGAAACAACCGTGGCTTCCATCACACCTCAGCAGAGCCGAAGGCTGATCGTCTCCATGCCACGCAGTAATTTGTGCAAAAGGAGGCCCAACCAAGTACTGAGAGCAGAAACATGAACATACTTTTTTACAAGGCCGACATTTCGGTATTATTTTCGGTAATTTTCTGAGAAACTGAATGTTGGTTTTTCATTAGCTGTAAGCCGTTATCATCTTGTTAACATGTACCTGTAGATACATGTTCCAGTTGATGGTGAACAAAACACATAAGAACAATATGATTTATGCAGCTGAGATAGTTATTGTTCCACTTAAGAGTTCTTAAAGAAGTTGGTTATTTGATGCTGTTGCATTTCCTCATATAGAACTATATTTTGTGGATTTAATGTTATAATCATAAGAAACATCATGTTGAAGAGCTAAACAAAATTAAGTACATTGTTCTAAATTAACATTTAAAAAACATAATGTAAAAATGTAATTAAAATAGGGAAATTAAAAAAATCATATTATGTATGCACACATAAGGGAAACAATGTCAAGTTTACATGTACAGATCAGTGCCTCTTAAAAGCCACTCTTGTCCTTTTTATATTTTAATTAGACCATTAAATCAGCATCAAGTTTTCTGATGAGTGTCAGTGAAACAGTATAACTAACCTGTATTTGCCAGGCCTCACCTGGAGACATGTTCACAGCGAGCAACTTTAATGGGAAGCCTGGTTAAACCGCACCCTATGCCCGGATCATCAGTGTGTTTGCTCCTACCAGAAAACTTCACTTTATTATAATATCATAAACAACACAGCTGTTTTTTACAGGGAGTCCCTGGACACACATGTGGGTCACTTGGAAACAGCTTTTATCAAAGATTTGGTCATTTGAAATGTTTTCAGTAGAAGAATTAGAGGGATAAGCAGCTGAACAGTGCTGGCCACAGCGGGGGAAATGTGACGATTGGAAGCTCCACAAACAAAATTCAGTGAGCATCAGAGCTATACATCATTTCAAAATGAAGCAAATCAAGTCCGCTATCAGTTCCATTAACAGTCAGCCTTCAGCACTTTTTCCACAATGAGTTTGGAGGCTTTTATCAGTGAAGAGAAACACAAGTGGCAAAGTTTTCAGACTGCGGAGTGGCGCCATGGGCTTAGTTGAGTCTCCACGGTTCTCATGGTGTGTTTAAGTGCAGCCCCTGCTCTGCTCTCTCCAACAGTTCAGTCAGACTCGTGTTAGTGTGAGCAGGAACAGAAAACTCGAGCAGAAAATGGCAGAAGTCCCTCCAGCCGCAGCACCGGCCAAAGCCGCAGCACCGACCAAAGCCGCCAAGAAGAAGGTTTCCAAGCCGAAGGCAGCTGGCCCCAAAGTCAGCGATCTCATCGTTAAAGCTGTGGCCGCATCCAAGGAGCGAAGCGGCGTGTCTCTGTCCGCCGTCAAGAAGGCTCTGGCTGCCGGAGGCTACGATGTGGAGAAGAACAATTCCCGCGTTAAGACCACCATCAAGAGTCTGGTCGTTAATGGGACTCTGGTCCAGATCAAGGGCATCGGAGCTTCCGGATCATTCAAGATGAGCAAGAAGGTTGCCGAGCCTAAGGACAAGAAGCCCGCAGCCAAGAAAGTCGCTCCTAAAGCCAAGAAGCCCGCAGCCAAGAAACCTGCAGCGGCCAAAAAGCCCGCGGCAGGAAAGAAGTCTCCCAAGAAGGCGAAGAAACCCGCAGCAGCCATGAAAGCAGCCCCCAAGAGCCCCAAGAAGGCCACCAAGAGCCCGAAGAAGGTCGCTAAAAGCCCGAAGAAGGTCGTTAAAAAGGCTGCAAAGAGCCCCGCAAAGGTGGTGAAAAAGGCCCCTGCCGTCAAGAAATCCCCCGCAAAGGTCGCCAAACCCAAAGCGAAGAAGGCAGCACCCAAGAAGAAGTGAGCTGTCATCAGACTGATCTGACTAAGATCCACAAAAGGCTCTTTTAAGAGCCACCCATTTTGTCATTAATGAGCATATTTCTTGTGTCAATAACTGCAGTCAGTATAAGATGAGAGACGAGATGCTAAACGTG